AAAAAAATAAAACACAGATTATGAGTGTCTGTACTCAAGAGAGCCGTTCAAAATGGTCAGAAAACAACCTTGATCTATTATTGATGGATAGCTAAATACACAAGTAATGATACCAAATATTAATGAAGCTTTCTTGTTCTGAGGCTAGATGAAAATTTAAATACATCTTGGTATTAGGCCAATAACACATATACTTCGGGTAGTATATCCTCTCGTGTACATTCTCTAAAGCTTTCTAATAGTTTAGCACTCGTAGGCCTTCTCTCATATACTCAGAGGAAGCATCATCCTTAATTATATTCTCTCTTCAACTATTAGAATGATAGCTACTTGTGGGCGTATGATAGACGGAAACCCTTGCATAGACCACTGGACTTAGCGTTCTTAGGACCAATTCTAAAGACATAGCTATCCTAATGAAGCGTTCTGAGGAGCCAATGGGCCGGCTACTTCTAAATATTTGGGTTGAAATCTGGACATACCAGACCGAGGTGCACGCAGTGCGGAGTAGACGAAGATTACTCAACTTCGATCGCTACCAGCTTTGGTGAGGTCTCGGTTGGTAATGATCTCGGTGGTGCGCATGTCATTCCATCACGTAATCAGAACATAACTAAACGTCTCTCATTCCCTCGTATAACTGATAAGTACTCTGTCAATGACTTGTGTCATCAAAGAATGACTACTCCTTCACTTGACAGATTGTCTCTACGACTCGTCGCTTACATTACTCGGGGAATAACAACTGACGCGTCTATTGTCCAGACAGTGCACGGCTCGTAACTAAGCAAGTCGTGTAATCCGATACTGGAGGTTCAACGTTCTATCTACTAGGACATGATCCGTTCTCTAACATAAATAGATTTGGATTAAATCCTGCCACTTATAACCAACTGAATACAAGTTCAGTAAAATCAAAACCCTCACTGATTCAAACCTTTTATCTCTGATCCTTAAATCCCAAAATCTTAAGATTCGTACGGTATTGACTTGACGGTCAACATTTACTTCTATCATTCCAGATACCCCCAGAACTTTAATAATTTGTACCCAAAGAAGTCACTCTCTCGATTCTTAGCCTCATTTCAGATCATTAAGCTGTTAGTATCTTGAGATACATCAGATATAGTGTTGAGATTCCCGAAAGGTTTTAATATTAGTGCGTACTATTAGGTTGCTAAACTTAACCTCTTTGAGCCGTACTGGCTGATGGAAAGTGTTATAGAATTGTTAAAAATATAGGGCTTCCCGTATACATTTTGGATTTATCTCAGGTTTAGACTCTACGGGGATTGCCGGGGATTTTAAGGGACACTGTTGACAGGCGTTGAATTTTCGTCCCTCGCTAGTGTAGCTGTTGGAAGCTCACTCTAGAGAGTCAAATTGATTGGCCATAGAAGAGCACTGGTACTTAAGCGAGACTTTGTAGAAATATGACCTCCTTCATGAAAGACTCAATGAGGTGTTTTGTTAAACAGTGACTTCGCACTTGTCATAGGTAGTTGATATTCATTATTGTTGTGAGCTGTGCGGAAGTCACATTGCGGCGTGATGAGGGGTGGATGGTCTAGTGGTATGCAGATAAGACCGTTCTCACAAGTAGACTCTGGCTAGCATGAACACCCACCCTATTTGAGATATGAGAAAACTGGTTCGAATTAAGTGGGTTCCTCACACGATACTCAACCTCAGTGACTACGTATTTGTGAGGTGACTAAATCACACTCGGACGACCATTGATCCTTCACGCTTTTCCTCGTGATAGTTGAGAACGGAAGAGGTTACAGGCAGTAAGGGTTAACTACGAGTGGTAACTGCAAATGAAATGTCAGTGTGAATGTTTCAAGCCTCTAAATGGGTAATTCTACACAAAATAAATACCTTCCAAAGGTACCGATATCAGTCCTCAGGGCATCAAGTCAGAATGGTTGAAAATATTTAAATTGACTCTGGGTACTCTAGCCATACTATGAAATTCTGGCAATTATTTGCTGACTGTCTTAGGAGTTTGTCAGTGGAATATTGGAATAGTCCGACGGCCATGGTAGTTGAATGATCTTGAAAGCATCAGTTGACATGTGAGCGTACTCAAATTTCGAGAGTATGAAGATGACTTTTCGCACTATCAGAATTCTATGTGTTCATGGAGAACCAACAGTCGCGCCTCTCGTCTCCTGTGTAAGTCAACAAAAATACGTGGAAGCGTAACCAATTCTATTTAGCAATAAAACCCAAATTGCCATCATGATATATTATTCAGAAACATCTTCGTCTAGGTCTAGGGATCTGGCATCCAGAGAGGCAAGTTGTATCGTGCTTCGTGCAATCTGTGGCATGACCGTCGAACGAAAAAGACCTCTCACGAACTTGATGGGTCTTCTGATCGGTCTCTCGGGAAGAACAGATTTATATATTAATGGAGAATCAATTGAGGCCCAAGCTTGGTTACTAATAATCGTTGAGTTGTTGGCCTCCGCAGGGACCGTAAACGTTGTCACACTGGTTTGCCCATCGATCTGCTGTTTCATCGAGCAGAACTTCGGGCACGGCCTATTTCAACTAGTCAGGTGATTTGGTCTATTTTCGTCGCACAACTTCTCAAAGCGGCAAGGGTGGCGTGGGTGCACCCGGTCGAACAAAAGATCAGCACGAGACAATTGCATTTCAACAGTTCTAGCATAGCACGTCCGCATCCAAATACTACGAATTCTGGGCTACTACCTTACCTACTACTCTCGCTTGTTCCGGTGGCAGCCCAGAATTCGAGTGACGACAGATCTACAGACCCGAACGATGATCGACCATCAGTATCACCGGCAAAATTTCCTCCATTTTGAAAAATTATCAAAAATGTTAATTTGATCGCCTATTATAAACTGGGAAAAGTAAAAATTACTCGAGGTGTTTAGCGCAGGCGCTGGTTAATTGGGAATTAAGGCATGACGAATAATGGAATCTCATATCGATGTGAACATTATTATATCAGCTAATGAGCATGCCGATGTATCAGCGTTTTCATAATAAAATAGTGGTTTCTTTCAGGGATACGATCTTCACTCTTTCAAATAACCCACATGTCCTTTCACATCGAAAGACTCATTAGAACAATAAATTTGTACTTAAACAACTGACAATATAAATTTGTGAAAATTACACTGGCATGTACTGATAGCTTTAAAAGTTCTGCTCTGGCCACAACGCGCGATATTTCTTCCCCTGTCAGAAGTAGCGTTAGGTGCCTGCATGACCAAAAATATACTCATCTACTCATATACAGCCCATGCTGCCACCCGCTTAGTGAGATAAGAGTCAATGGACAGTTGTTATCATATTAATGAAGTGTAGCCATAGCACTGGCACGAGCTGGCGATTTTTGAAAAGGACCAGCTACAGTGCGCTATTTTGAGTACCTTAACTCTTGCTGATTGTGGGCGCGACTTGTGCTTTGGTCCGTTCAGGTGTTGCCAACCTTTTCAATGTCAGGAGATTTTGAGCACGAATTTTCAATCAGAAGTGGTCAAGCTGCATTATTCATGGTACCCGAGGATCAGTTTTCACCGGCCATTCAATTTCATGTCGCATCAATGCTTTCTACTTGACATGGTCCCCTATGCAGATTTGATATGCTAATATCTCCTGAGCGATATCCTTCCGAGAGGTCATCGGACGCTGGCATAAACTAGCCTTACCCTAGTTCGATTCGGCCTTTTAACCACAAACAACTGAGGTCTGGAGCGTCGCTGAAATCAATCGTAAATACTCATTAAGATTGATATGGTGAGATAATTCGAACAAATACGTTCCGTTCTCCATTGCATCAGATGGAATATCTGTGGTTACAACGCTGCATGTAAGTCAAGAGAGATCAGATCTCTTAGCTCTAATGGAGCTTGTCGACCGGTTCATAGCGCGTATGATTGTTCAGAATGGTCGTGTGTAGTGGTAAGCGTGGACGGGAGCCCCCATGCGCGCCACGATAAGATGGAGAGGGGCGGTCACCTATCACATGCGTCATACTCTCTATTTGTTTCTCCTACGCCGATTGGGATGGTACGTGCACAGACACGAGAGCTGCTCTTTGCAATTTCGCAATTCCCTCCAATTACAATCAAGGGAACGCTTGACCGGTCCGCCCCCCCTATTGAGATGCCGAGCACATTGGCAGGGCACCCCAGTAGCGCTAGCTCACGTGAAGTCATGTGGTATGAAAAGCTCCGGAGCTACAGAGCCTCAACCCCTGGATCCGCTGAATGAGGGAAATGGTATTCTACACTGGTGTTAGCTGTGATAAAGAGATAGGAAAGATAATCACAATGACAATGACTGACACTGGCTCCAGCTCCGCATTCCATCGCTCAAGCTCATGAACCGCGATGAGAGACTAGCGCGAATCCCCATGAAATTTCCATTGTCATACCTACAGTATACTTCAATTAAGTGCCCTCTAGGGTCCAGCCGTAAACGTACCTCACCGACCTCCTCATCCCCCCCCGAGTTCAATCAGTCCAAACAAGAGCGTACATTATGTTCTAGAAGATCTACATATGGCCTAGGCTGACCCCTACCTTACTGAGGGAACAGAGAGCGCTCTCTCCCTTCTAACCTCTACCCTGTCCCTACCCCTATCCTAGTTCAGTCCTCCCTAAGTGTCCCACTCGGCTCGTCCGTACGAACTTATGTTCTCGTTCAGCGCTATTTGTCTGAATCAGCAATCCCACTCTTTAGCTCTACCGATTTTTGGCGTACGTTGCCTTCACTGAGGTGTCGATTACACTGGAGGACTACTCAGTGTCAGAACTTACACGCCTCCCTTATACATAAAAGTCACTCGTTGCTCTATATCATACAGTCTCTACAACATCTCAAAGCCTTCGGCATCATCCATCTCCTCCTACACCTTTTGTTGCTTCGCTGCTTCATCTTGGAATAATTTTTGGATTCTCTCCTTTCTTGAATTTCATCTTATTCTACAGGTTGACTTATTGTCTAAACTTTTCATCATGTTACCACAGTTCACCCGCTTTGCAGCTCTCGCAGCCATTGCTATTCCTGTCTTTGCAGCTCCAACAACCATTCCTGAATTGCAGCAACTCAAAATCCGAAATCTTCATGCCGCAGATGTGATTGAAAACAGTTGGATTGTCGTGTATAAGCAAGATGTCACTGAAACACAGATGGCTAGTCACCAGGATTCAATCAAATCTCTGATATCCGGCCGCGACTTGGGCCATGGAATAAGAGCTTCATGGAATATGGCTCATCTTAAAGGCTACCATTTATTCGCGAACGATGACGCTATAGCATCAATAGCTCAGTCACCAGAGGTGAGAGCGAGAAAATTTCAATTCCCCTACCGTAACAAACCTGATATTAATACAGATTGACTATATCGAACGTGACGCTCGTGTGACAACTTTCAATCTCAACACTCAGAGCGATGCTCCGTACGGTCTAGGCAGTATCAGTCACTCGAAAGCTGAAACCTCCAGCTCATACGTCTACGATGGAACAGCCGGAAAGGGGGTAACCGTGTATGTTGTTGACACCGGAGTCTATGCTGAACACTCTGAACTCGTTGGACGTGCTTCTCTTGGCGCCAACTTCGTTACCGGATCAGCTGTAAGTTCTCCACATGTAGTTCCACATTACTCACTAAAACCCTACAGGATACCGACGAAAACGGGCACGGAACTCACTGTGCTGGTACGATCGCCGGATCTACTTACGGTGTAGCAAAGAACGCAACAATTGTTGGGGTAAAGGTCCTAGACGCAGATGGATCTGGCTCCAACTCTGGCGTGATTTCTGGCATTGACTGGGTCGCTCAAAACGCTCATGGTGCTGGAGTTCTATCTATGTCACTCGGCGGAACATATTCTAACGCTCTCAACTCGGCTGTGACTTCCACCATCAATTCTGGAGTTACTGTTGTTGTAGCCGCCGGAAATGACAATGCTAACGCAGCACTCTATTCGCCAGCCTCCGCACCCTCGGCTATTACTGTCGGCGCTATCGGATCTAACAATGCCAAGGCATCATTTTCAAATTACGGAAATGTCGTTGATGTATTTGCACCCGGAGTAAATGTTCTATCATCTTGGATCGGCAGTACAACAGCAACAAACACCATATCAGGCACTTCAATGGGTGAGTTTTCTATTTCCCAGACCCCCGTCCATTCATCACTCAAAGTGGTCTTCCTCGCGCTCTCTTGAACACCTAAATTAATGATTTTCAAAGCTACTCCCCACGTCGCTGGCCTCGCAGCATACCTTATCGGCCTGCAGCAACTAAACTCACCCAACGCCGTATCAAACCGCATCAGCTCCCTTGCTGTCAACGGTCAAATTTCAAATCTTCCTCTCAACACACCCAACAAGCGCGCCTACAATGGTGCCGCATAATAGCTCAATCACTTGGATAAACTCAGATCCCAACCTTCAACTGCTAGATTTTTCCTCGGAATACAAGTAATTTTCCTTTTCCATGACCGCCTATAGTTTTTGGCTGCTACTTGGCATATAATATTAAATTTTCGCTCACTGTAATGGGTCGAGCAATAGTTGTCCCTGTATATAATTATTTCTGAGATATGAGGATAATTAGAATGCTTTTTCGGTGAAATGTACGAGAGAGCTAGACAAATCAATCAAATAAACAAGAAAAAATAGAATGGATAAATTTAATGAGAGAAAATGTCAATAAATATACGAATTTATTAACTGAATTATATTTGCTAGATTCTCGATCTGATGACTTTTCGGTAGGAAACGGTGCTGCTAACCGTTGGATGTCTGGCTCCTATTAGTAAATTTGCCATCTATGTCCTACTTGAATTCACAACTACACAGGACAGATAATTTTATCCCAACTTTCCTTCTCATCATACTTGGTGATTTCCTTAATTTATTGTTGGGATTCCCATGACTGGATCACCATGGAAGTTGGTCCTGTTGATCCCATGTAAACATCGAGATTAGTACAAATTACACTATCTCTAATGCAATTATCATGCTTTTTAATGTCCTTGCGACCAGAATAATGGACGGAATTTGCGCACTTTCACGATAAACCACGCGTATCCCACCCCTCAGTCTGGTGAGTTGAGGTACCGTTGCACCCTCAAAGTTCCGTTATAAGCTCTAAGATACTCTCAAACTTGCACAGATCCGTGCTCTGCAGCCTCGCTTATCATGGATTCGAGACTTTGGGGTCCATGTGTCAATCACGCCACGGCAACGTGTTGTTCCCTACAAGAGCACCCAGACCAGGTATATCAGATTTCACACAATAAGGCCCCAAATAATTTGGCGGGCACTTTTCTTTGATTGACATACCCGTAAGGGTTCAGCATTTCAAGATCATATGCATCAGATTCAATTTCAACAGTTAATTCTGATAAACTTACACCCTGGTGCTTAAGAAAATTACAGGCTGTACATCTGAACAATCACTAATCGTCTGGAACGAACTAGAATCAATTAAGTTCGAGCGATCAATTGCTCGTCGAGTTAAGATTTTCGCACACGTATATCTCCAAAGTCTACTGTGATTAATTTCAAGCAATATGACTTCGTGTAAGAGACACGTTACATTCTTTAATTTTAGGTGACTTTCGTTCATGATAAACTTCACGACATTCGATGCTTTTGTTGTTGCCGCCACCCGATTACGACAGAATACGATAAAAACTCATTGAGCACGGCCACACTAGTTTTAGGCTCAAATATTTTGAATGATTTTTTAGAGTTCTATTGCCATATTTATTTTCAGCTTGTTTGGTAAAAGTCATCTAGCTAACTTGCAACATCTATCTGTGATCCATATAAACGAGCCAAAATTCTTCTTAGCTTATCTCAAATTTGTAACCATATTTTGCATGTTTCTCATACTTCAAACAATTTTCAGATCATGGCTTTTCTAGGTTCTTTGTTCAACAGACAAACTATGTTTATTTATCCTTTTTGCGAATGGGATCAGCGTTGTTTTTCTCACCATACAGGTCACACAACTTATTATACTCCCTACTAAGACCTTCACTTTGAGATTTTAATACATCAAAGTCCCTCTGCTTTTCAGCTAGTTCCTTGCGGAGTTTTCCTATTTCACCAGCATCGCCGGCGTTGGCAAGTTTCTGGCTATCTTTTCCACCTGCCTTTGGATTACCTTCATACTTCTTGACCTTTTCTTCGAGACGTAACACATCTAAAATCATAGTATATGTGCGGTTAAGAATCAGAGAAAGAAATAGCGTGAATCCGCAGAGGTACATATTGCGCTGGGAATAAAACTTTCGTGCTTGTACTTCCATACGCTCATGACCAAGCACAGGCGATCTACTACTATGTCAACTTGAAGTTTTGTTGAAAGGGGAATGTAGCGTACCCCTGGCTTTTGTTAGATTCGGCTAATTCGAGCTGTACCCGATAGACTCGATTAACACTGTCGAGAAATAGAATAAGTATAAAAATAAATGTTATTTTCATTGCGTATTGAAACTTCGCAACGATTGGACTTTCAGATCTAGATTGTTAGCTTAGCAATAAAGGTTCATGTGGTAATACAAACATGAACGTGAACATTTTGCGGCGGATAGTAAAAGGCAATGGAACAATCAACAGCATGAAAAGTGCCATCTCGGCGACGAGGAGAATAAAAACCTAAAACAATTATCAGCATGAAAGCAGAATTGTCAAAAAATCTCATACCAAACTGTAATAGAGTGTCATTTTTCCGTATTTAGTAGAATGATGGCAAAAATCTTTATATTTAAAGTTGGAGTTCTTTGAAAAAACCTTGTGATATGCGAATAGCGACTAGCTTAGGTTTTTGAACTAGTGTTCTAAGTAGTTTAAATCGAGCATGGGTGTTGAATCTTGCAGAAGAGATACGTTGTGATTGATGAATAGACGGCGAAATGGGTGGAGACAATGATGAAGAATCGAGGAATGACATATCGCACGTCATGAAACTATCGACCATCTTGAGCGAGTCATATCACGTGATATTGTTATGACTTTCAACGGCTCTAGCCGTCACAAAGGCGGCTCAGATACGTCATTGCAATCATATTTTTAAGCTTATGTTAGCTCTTCACAATCCTCATAATAGGCCATAGCAGGTAATTGTGACAAGCTAATCATAAATGGGCCTTTCAAAAAATAATGATTGTTTAATGCATTGCCAGGCTATTCTTCTAATAAAATAGAAAAATCAGGGTGTTACTAAATGACACAATCCGTCGGAGGGGTATATGTACTCCTAGCTTGTAGGCAGGAGGAGTTAGTCTCACTGTATTCGTTCTCGATTTGATAGGATAATTTAATATCATTGAGCTGTAGAGTTAAGGACTGTCAATCATATTGATCTGCCGAATTTCAAGGAATTTATGCACATCTGTTTCAGAATTTATCATACTGCAAGCATGTATGCTAAATTTAAGGGCCCTCGTCGTTTTCATGGACGATATTAAGTGCAGGGGAAACAGTGTAGCCAGGCCTACTGACTCCAAATGATTGCCTACGTTTTTAGCGCCCTAATATTTCTTATCCACGAATCAGAAACGATTCGTCACGCTAAAAATTCATATATCTGCTTAACAGGGACTGGTATTTTTGATTAAATTTTGGGCTAACAACAAATCTTTACATGAACGAAGAAGGGTGTATAGTCGAATTGCAGAGAAGCATTCAATACTCTGAAATAAATTTGTCCACTGACAAAAAATCAGATTCTAAAAATTTGCTGCCAAGCATGAATAACTTTACCTCGATCAAATACAAGGGTTCAGGATTTGGGATGCTAGAGTCAGCGTTGGGAAAATAACAATCGAATTCTTCGCTGGGTGGTGAAATGGCCAGTGACTTAAATGGAGGAGATGGATTGCAATACGCAAATTATTATCTCACGTGGTGTAAAGTTGCGTCAAAAATGACAAGCACGCCACATCGTCGTCCTATTCGAAGGGCTCCGACAAATGCGTTTGGCGGTAATTAAAATCTTTGAACCAAGCGGACTTATTTATAATTTGAGTGATAGAACTGTTGATTAGATGGAAAATAGACTTTACTTCAAGCAAGGGGAGTACAGTAGTGACTATTACACCGCGTGGTGTAATGTGATGTTTTATTGTACTACTTGAGTCAGACTATCTAGCAGATTGGGCTCCTATCCTCTTATATTACTCGAAAGATCATTGAAATATTGCCCGTGATGGATAGCTATTCAGCTTAGTACTCACCCATGGAATTCGGCTACTTCTTCCATAGAACCTTCTACCTACAAAAAAAAGTAGGCAATAGAAATCGCGCGCGGGAAAAAGCCTTAAAAAAGCTGCAGCCCCAGCCAGCCCTAAACACGGGGATCACATGAGGCGTGCAGATCCATCTATATCTTCATTCTTTGTAACAGTCGAGGCCGATTTGATCCAATCCAACATCGCCGTATCGAGTGCTGGGTATCCTCCGGAAACTATCGAAGGCTAATAGTAACCACAGAAGAAGTTCGACAGGGAAATGTTCCGGATAAAAAGTAGGGACTATACATACGTATGTAGGTTGTTTGCTTCGGTCAGTGCTTGAATTCTGTATTTAGAACTGCAGGTTACATATATTCCAAGCGCATGTCTACATCTAGAGGTCAAGTCAATGATGATCAGTGTATATAGTCCTAGAGTTCCGTGAGAAATAGTAATCAAACTGTTTTTTATCTAGTTATCTTTTCCTTTAATTTCATGCACTTTGCCTGTCATAAGTCAGACTCCCAGTTACCTGATAGAAACTCATCGGTTGGCTTTTCCTCCATGATAAGGGGTGGGTGATGAGTAGGGCTTCGGCCCTATCATTTGATCTGATCGTGGTAAGTTTCGTGGTAAAGGTAGCAAGGGTCGTGTTGAAAGATGAAGACAATATAGACCGCAGAAAGCGCTTGGGAATCCTCACAGAAGTGACAAATTTTTTACTCCATCTCGACTCCGCAGACTCTACAGTAAGAGCGGGGAGATAGTAATCGAAAAAAGTATCCATGGCTTACAGGCAAGAGGTTATACATGCTATATATAGTCTCAAACTTAGGAAGTTTAAAGAGATTATAAATCTTTCTGACGGGATATTCTTCTTTATGACCTTAAAGTCCTTCGTTTTTATATTCATAGAATTTGAAATCCTTTAGATGAAAAGAAGAGCCCAACATCTATTTAGGCGTAACACGGGTAGATGGGCTTTGAGAGCTCATAAATACCTACATGAACGGCAATAGAGCCAAAGGCGACAAAAGAAAAGGAAAAAGGTACAGTGAATGTCTGAGTTACGGTGCCCTACGCCGCATCCCTATATCCCAAACACATCTCCTCTCAAGTTGGAAACAATCTCAGCATATTCATCTCCCACCATGTTCATTCTTTAGCAGACTGTAACATCTACCTGTGGTTGAGAATTGGATAAACTTCTGCCATCCCTTGTCCCCTATCATTTCCCTGGTCCCAGGTGGAGCCATTTTCTCACGGCTTCTCCAACAATGCAAAGCAGGTCGGCACTCTGAAAATGCCAGGGCCTTTTCTCTCGGCCGCAAACGCATTTCAGATCTTCATGTTCGGGGTTGAAACGTCGATGGTAGTCGGCGTAGTCCCCGTGGCCTGTTCTTGCCACAATTAGACGGCGGTACGCCCATCTTGGTAGAGCCAGTTCCGGTGGCTGTTTGCAGCGCATGAAGAAGACTAGGTCTTTTTATAGTTCCGGCCGAAACTTCTGCCACCAATCTTCCACGAGCCCTTGGCCTCGCTGTTTAAGCCACCTCCCCAATGCCGTAGAGTTTAGATTTTGATCTTCTCCACTGGACGTAGCCAAGGTTAGTGACCGGTTATTGAGAGCTCCCAAAGCTGATTTGGCCCGCTCATCTTCATGGTCATAAACTCAGTTGATACTTCAATTTAATGATATTCTTCATGACCTTAGGGGGACTATTCTCAACATCTGTCAGTAGTTTACCATACGAACCTCCAGCTCTCACTGTTGATTCTTCAGAGCCGAGATTACGTAACAAAGTCCTCACTTCGACGATGATTCCCATTCGCTTTCGCGGTTCGTATCATCTTCATCTCTAAGCACAACCTCCCTAATACTATTATCGTGAAGCAAACTACGATCAGATCAGATGGTAGGGTCGGAGCCCTACTCATCACCCACCCCTGATCATAGAGAAAAAGCCATCCGATGAGTCTCCGGAGTGGACCCAGTACCCTATACGGCGATGTTTGATTGGATCAAGTCGGCCTCCAATTTTACAAATAAGGGTTTTGTAGATGTACATGCGTACTTTGCGTGGCGGCGGCTGAAGGATTTTTGAGGATTTTTCCCGCGCACGCAGTTTCCATTGCTACCTTTTTTTTTTGGGGTAGAAGGTTCCGTGTAAAAGGTAGCCGAATTCCACGGGTGAATACTGAGCTAAATGGCTATCCATCACGGGCAAAATATCAATGATCTTTTGCGTAACAAAAGAAGATAGGAGCACTGTACAAGGTAAGGCCTAGGCCAGAGTGGAGCCTAATGTGCTAGATAATCTATGACTCAAGTAGTACAATATAAAATCATATCATCATTATCACCCTTGTGCACCGTAGTCCTGGCTTTGACAAGCACGACAGCCTTTAGATAATTACTCGTCACAAACAGCGTTGGTAGGGAGGGTCGCTGGTTATGTTGTGACTTTTTCGGTGCTTAATAGTTAGTAAAAGAGATTTTTGAGTTCATGTAGAGTAAGTACGATGTTCAGATTGAACTAAGATCGTCTTGAGTGGTTCTGGTTATTTTCTTGGTGATTTTTTTTCATTTTATTGTCCTGTCTGAGTCTATGACTATGTAGGGCATGCAGGTCCTCTCTGCCTACAGGCCAAGAATACCTATGCCACTAGTATTTCCCCTCCTATGCCTCCCATACAGCTTCCCTCGAACAGTACTACCCCTCACAAGCTCTCATTCGATCATACACTTAGAGGAGCCCTTTGCCCTTCGTTATCTCTCCTCTCTAGCCAACGAAGCGATGGTCATTTGCGGGTGTATGGCAGCCAGGAAAAATTGCAAAAATCACTGGGTGCGGAGCTCTCCTAATACCGACATTATGACTGAATCCGAAGAGATTGTGATCCTTCTAAAGTGTTCGAAAAGGCCGGCCAGCTGGGCGCTGCACACTTGTGGGTACCTCTGAGAATTCACACTCTGCCTTTCTAGCCTCCTTCCAACTCCTTCCCGAAGCGTGCTGAAATGTCAGAAAAGTATTGACAGAGCGTGATTGCTGTGTGGTAGCTTAGCCCGACTTCTTTTGTACCATCAAGTGCTCCAAGAACTGCCGTTGACTCATCGACAAAAGAAGCCCTCCTGGCTAATTAGCCGAAATCTCGGTCTTGGCGCCCACAAAAAATCCAAAGTTGAAAACTCCTCGAAAATGTCAGTCCCAACACAGTCTTCGTAGACCTCTTTCCCCTCTCGCTCCAAATCTCAGCAGCCTGTCCTTCCATAAGATGTATAACCCCATTAGAGCAGCAGTCCCCCAAAAACCAAGACCCCAACTTTGTGTATTATGACTTAATTTCCTCCTTGCGGGTATACGTAGCATCGTAAATTTGCAGTGAGTGATGGCCGGTGATGTGTGAGGCAAGCTCCTGTTTGCAATTGGGTTGACGCCTTTATCGGTCGGCGAGGCGAGATGATGTGTGGTTAGATCGAGGTTGAGGACTCAGAAGATAATGGTGAGTGCTACATAGTTGAGAAGTTGTCAAATGGAGATATACATGTGTTTGCTTTCGACTTCTATTCGGATACGATTCTTCTTGGCTATCCCAGATATGGAGAGCATACTGAGCGATTACATCGGCACCACTGGAAGGGGGAAGAGTTCGTCTTTGACGGCTTCTTGATGATTTGTGTTGTCGAGAAATCTTTGCAATTCCGTAGTTCCGGCCAAAACCAGCCGAGTATTACTCCTTCGAATAAGAATTCCAGTTTGGAAAAAATCATATTGATTGTTGTAGAGGACTGATTCTTATCTCCAGGTGAGTATTTCACTCCGAGATTCGTAGGGGACAACGCAGGTAAGTGATTCACCACATCATCGCCTGACGAAATAATATAGATACCTAAAAAATATAATTTACTTACTGCACGTGACTAATAGATACTGTATGCAGTTATTCGAACCCTTGTACATGTATTATGCTCAGTAAATAATACATTCCCCGCTTCCAGCCAATGACTATGCATTTCTAAAAATATTGATCCGAGAAACAAGCACTAACGCGTTCAACCATAGTTAAAGGTAATACCGCCTTAATCCAGGAATATTTCACAACTCAAACAGATAACCCTTACCCTATCATGAGCACTGCCAGAGTCGCTCGAAATGCAGTGCAATCACCTCTATTGCACGGTGAGTGATAAATGGTGCAACAGTGTATAATGAAATACCTAATCTTTAACAGCTCTCACTTTCACTCGTACAGGACCTTCGTTTAGATACGCAGCGTATTCTCGGAAAATTTGCCCGAGATCCTCACCACACACATCAGCGTTCTTAGGACTTCAAACAATAGGTAGATTGTCGAATAGCTCCCGCATGTCCACAAATAAACCTGTCGAACAAGGCAAAACATCGAATAATGGTCATGAAACCAATCCTACAAGACAAAATACTGAATCTCCATTACTTAATGAGAAAGATATCGAAAAGGTTTACAATGACAGAACCACGAGTGATTCGAAATTAGATAACAAAGAGGGTACGTCAACAACAGGGCTTGACGAAAAGGGAATTGATGATGAAAAAGAAGTAAAAAAGATTGAATCCAAATTGACGTTAATGCAAAAAGTCAAAAAAGAGGCTCAACACTATTGGGATGGAACTAAACTATTAGCCACAGAGGTTAAGATAAGCACAAAGTTAGCTGTGAAAATGGCTGCTGGATATGAACTTAGCCGAAGAGAGAATAGGCAACTTCAAAGGACTGTACAGGATATTGTTAGGCTAGTTCCTTTCTCTGTCTTTATACTTGTCCCATTTGCTGAGCTGTTATTACCCGTTGCGTTAAAACTATTCCCCAACATGCTTCCTAGTACATATGAGGGACAAAAGTCTAAAGACACTAAAGTAACGACTCTCCGAGCCACCAGAAAGGAAGTCAGTAACTTTCTTCGAGATACCCTGAAGGAGTCAGGACTACCATTATCACCGGCGACTACTCAGCGAGATGAATTTACACAATTCTTCAGAAAACTTCGTGCGACCGGTGAATATCCCTCTCCAACAGAAGTTATTAATGTCTGCAAGATATTCAAAGATGATCTTACGCTAGACAATCTATCCAGACCACAACTGGTCGGAATGTGCAGGTACATGAATCTCAACACTTTTGGCACAGACATGATGCTTCGCTACCAAATAAGGCACCGAATGCGACAGATAAAGCGAGATGATCGCGCAATAAGTTTTGAAGGTGTCGATAGCTTATCTATTCCTGAGCTACAGGTCGCTTGTATGAGTCGAGGGCTACGAACCCATGGTGCTTCTCCAGGACGTCTTCGAGATGACTTACAAAGCTGGCTGGATCTCCGGCTTCAGCATGGTGTACCCTCAACTCTACTAGTATTGAGTAATGCTTTCGTATATGCACAAGGGAAGTCCGATTCTGAGTTCCATAGTCAAATTGATGCTCTCACCGGTGTATTATCTTCTATACCAGAGGAATTATTTCATGAGATGGAATTGGAGATTCATAGCGCCGAAGGAGCAGCCACGAATAAGCAGCGCCTGGAAGTTCTGAAAGAGCAGCAAGATCTGATAGAAGAAGAGAATGAGCAAGATGAAGAAAATAAAGAGACCGGGCGAGCTTCTCCTCGAGACGACGAAAATATCGATGAGAAGGAAGAGAGACGGGTAATAGCGGAGGCTGCAGACCAACTGAAAGCGCAAAATGCTGTAGAAGGAAAATTGACACCTGAAAAAGTAGAAAAAATGTCGGAAAATAAATAATTTATCTTAGCGTTCAACGTAGTAGCCAACAGCAAAAGCGGTGTGATGGATGTATGATGGAGGTTGTATATAGAAAAAATAGATTATCTGGGTTTCAGCACGTGAAACACAGCAGTGTAAATTATCTCTGTTTCATAAAGATGTGCTACTCTAGATATGAACAACTCGCTTGTACTGACTACGTGGTTGTACTTGAACTTATCCATGCGGCCGCATCGGGCTTGGGCTAAAAATATCCAACAATGACGCTGCAGAACCAAGAGGTAATCCTGTCCAGCCATTTCATCTTTGTCTAAGAAAATACACAGCTAAGTGAAATAGTAAAATTGCTAGCCAACAATATTCTACACAATCGCCTGTCTCCCACCGAGCAATTTGCTGCTGGATATTCCTAGAAAGATAATGGATGGCCAGGACGACTTTGCTGACATCTCATGGCAGTCACCACAGGCTTTTCCAGCATCGCTTTCTCCAAACTTTGGAATGTTGCAGCACTCTGTAGACGAATCCTCGCCAATTACGAAAGGTGACCATGACCAGCAGCTTGGAAATAATGTGAATTCAGTGGACCTTGCAGGAGTTGGCGAGGGCGTACTTGAGTGTAATGTTTCGCAACCTATCAAAGAGAATGATGGTACAAAGGACAGCTATGTTTCTTATCTCGTAACGACTAACGTAGGCTTTCATCTATTATTGTAGCCTTAGGAAAGCTAATATATTCTAGACAACATTCCAGTCATTTCAGAAGCCAACTACTACAGTTCGTCGACGATTTACAGACTTTGTTTTCCTGTACAAGACTCTCGCACGCGAATATCCAACATGTGCTGTGCCTCCTGTTCCTGAAAAAAACAGCATGGCCTACGTTCGGGGTGATCGTTTTGGTCCTGATTTCACAGAACGGCGCGCAAAGTCCTTATCTCGTTTTCTACTCCGCCTTACACTGCATCCAACACTACGGCGAAGCGCTCTATTAATCATATTTCTTGAAAGTATAGACTGGAATGCAACGATGAAAATTCGACCCCAACGCGGAAGTCTTGGAGGCAGCGATGCTGGTGGAAGTGTATTCGATGGTCTGACTGACACTTTTATCAATGCTTTCGCTAAAGTTCACAAACCAGACAAAAGATTTACTGATGTGCGCGAGAAATCCGACAAAATGGATGAAGACCTTATACACATCGAGAAAATTGTAGCGAGGGTTTCACGGCGGGAAGGTGATCTTGAGACTGACTTGAAAGATCTTGCAGATCAATTTCAACATCTCATTATATTGGAGCCTGAAGTCAAAATTGGCGGTGACGCGTTTGTGGAAGAGCTAGAAAATACCTCTTTAGGGCTAGGCTCACTTCGGAAGGTATGGGATCATGACTATTTGGGCAGCTTGCGAGATATGTTGGCATACTCCTCATCTCTGAAGAATCTCTTGAAGGCTCGAGAACAGAAGCAACTGGACTTTGAGCAACTAACGGAGTATCTGAATAAAAGCACCGGTGACCGCGATGTAGTTGCTAATCCCCATGGCGGTGGTGGTCATATAGGAGCTAGCGGTTTTTTGGCCAGAAAGATCGAGGATGTAAGAGGCGTAGATCACGAGCAGAGCCGAAAGGAGAGGCTGCGAAAGTTGGAACTACGTATTCAAGCACTTGTTGGGGGTGTAGAAGAAGCAAAAAGGGTCACAGAAGCCTTTGACGAAGAGGTTGTTCGAGAGGTTGCAGATTTTGAGAGAATTAAACGGGTAGAGTTCAAAATGCAACTTGGTAGACTCGCCGATGCCAATGTAGAATTTTATGGTGGGGTAATTGAGAGGTGGGAGACCTACATAAAAGCCATGGAAGCAACTGGAGCATCGATTGCATGATGGAGTGTCAAAAACACGTTCGAATTAAACTTCAAGTCTACTGAATGGCGAAGGGTGATGCTCTGAACACGGATTGGCGTTGGGGCGCAGGGGACGAATGGTCACGAAATACGTCGGAAAGGTCTCTATGTAAATAATGACATGATATTTCTTATCATTCGTCGGTTGTTCTTGGGTGAAGATAATTAGAGGGGTTGACAGATTTATCTACGTCCTTCAACAGGGAAATTCAAATATTTTAACATTCGTTGGCTTATGCCATTGTGTGCCAGCCATACGAGTTCACTGTCTTATACTATTTAAGAATCAAATCTAGAAATAGATTAATTGCTTGCAAGCCTGTACTTTCTTTCCTTCGAATATTAGGATGGCTTCCAATTGCAAAACATACCGTTGTCAACAGTATTTAAACAAATAAATTTCGAATAGCAAAGTTCATGGAACATCACGACCCGACCATCTAACTTTATCGAAAGATGTACAAGTCTGTGGTTTCTTTCTAACCACTGAGAGGAGGGGCAGTGAGTCGCGCCGAGCACAGCTTCTTTAGCATGTGAAGCTAGCTATCAATCAGGAGGCCCTATCAAAATCCGGGGTTTTGTCCTCGACTCTTATTATTAGATGCGCTGATACAGTCAACCTGACAATAACAGCATACTTACTACAGAAGATCCCAGTGAAATGTATAGTTTGTTTTGGATTTTCTTGTGTAACTTAAGTTGGAGACTGTCTCGCACATTGACCTCCTGTCAGGTTCAGGCCACAAATAGTACAGTGCTCCTCTCCACTATTATACGAAAAATTATCACTGGTATATTGCCCGTGATGAACAGCCATTCGGCCGCCATCTCTACATAACCCTCTATCCAGAAAATTTTAAAATGGTAGCCATGGAAACTGCGTGCAGGTGAATTTTTCTCAAAAATCTTTTGCCCCAGCCAGGCGAGGCCTAGATAGCGGAGGCGCACAAGTTGCATACAGCTATCTATATCTCCCTTCATCATGAAGAAAGAGGTCAATTTAATCAAATCTACAATTGCCATTTCGGGCGCTGAGAACGCCCCGGAAACTCATCGCATAGCTTTTCCTCCGTGATCTAGGATTTGTGATGAAAAAGACATTCATAATACCATCTGGTCTGATCGTGGTTAGCTTTATGATAATGTTGATAGGGGGATATGTTGAGAGTATAAGATGATATACATCGCGAGAGCGATTTGGAATCCTCGTGGAAGTGAGGACTTTGTTACTCAAACTCGGCTCTGCTGACTCTACAGTGAGAGCTGGAGGTTCGTAGGGGACACCACTGACAGGTGTTGAGAATAGTCCCCCGTGGAACTCCCTTGGGCTAAGTAGAGACTTAAGTAAAAATCTAATCTAATCAAATCTAAAGAATTGAGGTTTGTTCGCCAGGATTCTATAAGAGGCAAAATCAGCCATCAGTGGGAAATTTGTTTCGAAGAGTATTTATATCTAAGCTATGTTTTCGACTTTCACTTTGAACAAGGTATTGATTGTCTCTAGATACCATAGGGTACTTCTTGACAATCAGATTTTTTGTCTTCCAAAATGTTGTGATACGATTACAAGGCCGACTTGAAGTGTAATTATTCGTTAAATCGGTCCCTCATAGTCATAGATTCAGTCGGGACTTAAATTTAATTCTATTCTATTAGTTAAATCAGGGTCACAGGCTTTTGTAAGAGTTTTAAACATTATTGGGCGTTAAATCAGTTGAGAAAACTGTCTGGTATCAATGTTGTTAAATATGTGATCTGAGACAACTTTTTTATTATTGGTTATGAATGGAAGATTTAAAAAATTTCAAGCCAAATTTTCTTGTTATTACTATTTTATTTTATTGTCCTGTCTAAGTTTGTGACTATATAGGACATGCAGGTCCTCTCTGCCTACAGGCCAAGGATACCTATGCTTCTTACACAGCTCCCTTCGGACAATACCACCCCTCACAAGTCCTCATTCGATCATGCACTTGGAGGTGTTCTTTGCTCTTCATTATCTCTCCCCTCTCTAGCAAGCGAAACGACGGCCATTTGCGGATGTATGGCAGCCGGGAAAAATTGCAAAAAACCACTGGGTGCGGATCTCTCCTAATACCGACATTAAGACTGAATCCGAAGAGATTGTGATTCTTTTCAAGCGTTCGAAAAGGCCGGCCAGCTGAGCGCTGCAGACTTGTGGGTACCTCTAGAAATTCACACTCTGCCTTTCTAGTCTCCTTCCCGAAGGTCGTGCTGAAATGTCTGAAAAGTCTTGACAGAGTGTGATTGCTGTGTGGTAGCTTAGCCCGACTTCTTTTGTACCATCAAGTGCTCCAAGAAGTGCCGTTGACTCATCGACAAAAGAAGCCCTCCTGCCTAACTAGCCGAAATCTCGGTCTTGGCGCCCACAAAAAATCCAAAGTTGAAAACTCCTCGAAAATGTCAGTCCCAACACAGTCTTCGTAGACCTCTTTCCCCTCTCGCTCCAAATCTCAGCAGCCTGTCCTTCCTTAAGATGTATAACCCGATTAGAGCAGCAGTCCCCCAAAAACCAAGACCCCAACTTTGTGTATTGTGACTTAATTTCCTCCTTGCGGGTATACGTAGCATCGTAAATTTTTAGTGAGTGATGGCCAATAATCAATGAGGCAATGTCTTGTTTGCAATTGGGGTGACACCTTTATCGGTCGTTGAGGCGAGATGATGTGTGGTTGCAGCTGGTCGCTAGATACACGCCCACGCCGATATTTACACCCTAAGGAGGAAGCAAAGCGTGGCGCACGAATCTGGAAGGCAGTTCTTTGGGATGGACGGGAGAAGAATCAGGACAAGTTGATAAGATGATGTAGAGGATGGATACAGTCTCGATAGGCGTCAAATTTCGAGTTTTGCCAAGGAGATTCACAATTTGAGCTTTTTGCGTACCAAGTCTTCGCTTCCGAGAGTGCAGGAGACACTATGAACATTGCCTTGGTTGGATGGTGCGGTGGTACATCGTCTTGGCCGGTCTACCAAGTAGAGTCTAGATAGCTTGGACACATATCCCACTCGAGACAGTAAATCGCTGGTTCAAATCCGGCAAAACACAACCACATTTCTCGCGGCGCTGGTATGCATGGATGACGAAGGCATGCTTGAATATCCAAAGGTTGTGAAACGTCCCTTTGGTGGGTACTTACGGAGGAGGGTCGGGGGACTATTCTCAACACCTGTCAGTAGTGTCCCCTACGAACCTCCAGCCCTCACTGTAGAGTCTGCAGAGCCGAGTTTGAGTAACAAAGTCCTCACTTCCACGAGGATTCCAAATCGCTCTCGCGATGTATATCATCTTATACTCTCAACATATCCCCCTATCAACATTATCATAAAGCTAACCACGAGTAGATCAGATGGTAGGGTCGGAGCCCTACTCATCACCAACCCTTGATCATGGGGGAGATGCCATCCGATGAGTTTCCGGAGCGTACCCAGCACCGATACAGAGATGGTGGATTGGATCAAGTCGACCTCAACTGTTACAAAGAAGGGAGATATAGTTGAATATGCGCAACTCATGTGGTCCCGGTGTCTAGGCCTCGCCTGTCTAGGGCTGCAGGTTTTTTGAGACTTTTCGCCGCGCACGCAGTATCCATGGCTACCATTTTTAATTTTTTGGGTAGAAGGTTCTGTCTAAAAGGTGGCCGAATTCCACAAGCAAATACCGAACTGAATCGCTATTTATCAAGGGCTATATATCAATGATCTTTCATGTAACATGAGAGGATAGGAGCACTATACAAGGTGTGGCCTGGGTCAGAGAGGAGCCCAATGTGCTAGATAGTCACAGACTCAAGTAGCACAATAAAAACACACACACGGAGGAGGGTCGATTGTTTGTGTAAGCGAACATACCTCATAGTGGTATTTGCGAATGAAATCCAGAGTATGAGGGTCTCTAACGTCAAAAGAGTCATCCAATATATATACATAGCACCAGTCATGTGTCATAGCTAGATAGCTGAATACACTTAAATGATTTAAAAAAAAAGATGTGTAGTTGGAGAGAGGTTGAGGACTTATAGGAGAACGGTAAGTGATGCATGATTGAGAAGTCGTTAAATAGAGATATGTTTGTATTTGCTTTCGACTTCGATTCGGATATGATTCTCCTTGGATATCCCAGATATGGAGAGCATACTGAGCTGTTACATGGGCACCACCGGAAGGTGAAGAACTCGTCATCGCCGGCGATTTTGGGACATATATTGGTTAGAACTTAAGTCATTGACGTCATTCGGATGGAGGGCTTCGATTCACTTCTAGTAAGCACGTTGCGCTCAAAGAATCAAACTAACCTTTGGTAAGTGGTTTACCACGATATCTTACAGCCAAACTCCCAATTTGAAATAATTGGAAGTAAGTGCTTCATGAGCCACTATTTTCTTGATGAGTCGTGCAACGAAATAATAATACTAAACTTTGTCGTAGCCATTTACCCCTATAGGCCTTGACTACCCAAGACATGTAACTTATATCTAATTTTATTACCTATATTTCCATTTTCTCACGCGTATGTAACTTAATTTAACAAACGGAGCAAAAAGTTTTTAGACGATATGGTCAGGAATAGAATGACATATGGAGGCTTTGATGCCAGCTATCCAGTAAAGAGCGTCCAATTAGGGGATGGCCCGCTATGAATTTGAAATAGTCTGATGCGTTGTAGCAGCAAATCAAAGATCTAGCTGAGTAATGATTGCACCAAATTTTGTAGAGTAACTATTTAATCCTATCAATCAACTTTAAATTACTCCTAAATCTAGAGGATATCGCTTTAGTCCTAAGTTGGCTGGAGGTTGAACAATGAGACAGTCTCAATATTATAGCCAGCAGAAAATAAACTTATTCAAGATTTATGTCGAATGTAATTTTGGAGTTAGAGAGAAAGGAGTTATAAGTATCTTTGTCATGCTTTTATGTTAAAGATTAGAATCTTCATGCTAATTTCAAGCCCATACACCCACTAGCGTCATCAGTAGAGCCCCTGCCAGGACTGAAGCAAACGCTTGTATTCTCTGTTTCCCATGTAACACTTTGAAGCTTCTGTCACTTAAGAAATCCTCGGCAAGAAGCTGAACTAGCCCCGCGTAGAGAAGTAAGCCGCTTGAAATTCCATTCATAAATCCTACCATCAATAAACCACCAGCACTATGTGGATCGTATAAATTGTGTACCACTATTCCAATGGCCTGTCCTAGAGGTGTTGTTATTCCAAAAGCTAAAACCATAAACCAGGGCGTCAAGGCACGCGATGGAAAATCTATAGCTGCTATTCTAGACCCTAGAGCAATTCCTTCGAAGGTCTGATGAAGGCCAATTGCACTTAGAAATACCAAAAATGACGGCCCAGTCGCTACTGAGACTGCCATTCCGATGAATATACTATGAAATAAAATACCAGCCTCAAGCATAAGACATTGCATGACCTGGCGCTTTCGTAAAGCCTCACAAGAAGAGTTGGATAGATGGTGAAGCACGATAGGCGGCTTACTTGATTCTTCAAAGCCGAGGGGAGGCGTTATGGAGGTGCCAATTTCATCCATGCCAACATCAGAATCCTGATCATCTGATAATCCTGAGTATTGATTCCTGTTAGACTGGGCCGTTACTGGTGTTGAATCTGGTAGTGGAGATGCGTTATCTACTAGAGCTGCTGACGCATCCACATCTTCCAATCTGAGCTCTCGCGGCCTTAGGGACCGTACAAACTTTTTCTTGAGTTGTCCTGTGGAAGTTTCTCTCCATGATGGCGTTAGATTTCCTGCGTGCCGTTCCTCGTTTTCAGAATCGATGTTGTGAACCTCAGTAGAGTGCGTATGTTTGGCACCTCTGGCGGTGAGAAACATCTCTAGCCCAACAACCACAAATAACGAAATCATGGCAACCAGGCCGGCAAGTGAGGGAAACTTCTCATTGAAAAAACTTGTAAGACATGGATCTGTCAGTGAGCCAAAGGCAGTTGGGAGCAAGTGAACAAAGGCAGTTGCGATGAGCACACCGGTCCCAAAGTGTTGCGATATGAAGATAAATTTTCCAGACCTAGCACTGGACGAAGCTTTGCGGGATATGAGAGGAAATGCGCAAGCTATTTTATCAGTTAGTTCATACTTTTTCCGCGAGGAAGGACGAACCTAGAGTGCTCAATATCAAGATAAGGATCAACGCAAACAGATGAATTGAGGTATCATATTTGGCTTTGGAAATAGATCCACATTGAAGCTTCATAGACATACCGTGTCTTTTCGTTCTTCCTATTAGATGGACACCATTGGAGGTGATTCTGGGCCACAAAGTTTCTTGCTGCATGTCAACTTGATCCATCTTTAGTGATAATCATTGGTTCTTCAGTTGACATCTCATCATTCCCCAAATGAAACTCCGAATCGCTAAGGAGCTCGGCGCACGGGGGGCTGTTAAGTGCGATTAGTTACTGTCCCAGCTGTGGATATTGACTAAGATCACTAACTCATGTGGAGCGCCGCTAACCGAACTACATGACTTTAGAAACTGCAAAACTTATCGAGGCTTTTTGCCTAGACCCGTCGGCTACAAGGATTATTGTCTACATACTTGGCAGTGGTAGCTACAGCGTTCTTTCATCTAAGAATGCTATCAATTACATTTGACAAGGTGTCTCATTTTTATTTTGAATGACTTTTGACCTTAGACCCCGTATGCCTACAGAAGAAATTAGTGAGGCCCTGTAGATACAGCTTTGTCAATCAACAACCACCTTTATCTTTCGGTTTTTCTAATTTAGGACGTCAACGAAGGAATAATACGAGGATTTGAAATTTTGCAGGGGATAAAAAGCCACTGATGAACGAGTAATGCCATTGATTTCCTACATCACCCTCGCAATTTTGAAATCGGGTGGGTCGCCTAGTACGGGACCGAACGGACATCAGATTGATCAGTTTAATTAAAGAATTTCCTACAACTCACTGCAGCTCGCTCGGCAGTTAAATTCCCGGATCGCACAGGAAACTTGTCCCACAGACGGTACAGCACCTTCTCAAATCTCTGGAAAAACAGTCTCTGCCGTAATTTTCGTGGGAGAATTAACAACACTGAGACTGACATTATCTAGACACCAACAAAAAAACTACGAGGGTTTAACTACCCATTTTCCTATCTAAAATGTTTAAGTCCCGACTAAGAAAGATTGCACATCCAAGTAAATTTTTTATAAACAGGACTTAGCTCTCACTATTTTTTGGTAAATCCTAAAACATCAACATGAAATTTTACTATAAAAATTTTAAAGCTATTTAGACAGTTTTCGACTGCATGTCCTACATAGTCATAGATTCAGACAGGGCAATAAAATGAAATAATAGTCAGATTTCGAAATCCATCATCGAAATAGACTCACTAGCGACTAACATTGAATAAGCGTGCAGGTGTCCGTGACATACTATCTGGCTAACCTATATGAAATGTAATGCCCCTTACTCACTGGCTCAAATTTTTCGATGAAAAATGACATCGGAGATAGCATAGCATATGGGTGTACTATATTAGGATATTAAAAGTTACTATTAGCATAAGTGAGTTATATATAAATACACAACAACTTTAACTTGTGGAGTTAAATCTGCACCGGAAAAGTACCAGTTATGCATTTCACATGAGCAAGGAACAGAAACAACCTAAAAGCCACCGTGAGTATATAAGGACACTTAACTTCACCGCAGTCTCCTCTTCGAGTTCCCGGGGTCTTCTTCGGCCCCAAACTCCACTCGGGGGCTCACATAAAGAATATCCAGCAAAAATCGTACACTCAAGTGCAATCAATTAGTAGACTGACACAATCAACTTGGGAAGCGACATTCGTGAATTCCAAGCTGCTATACAGCTCGATAGTGAGGCCGGCACTCACGTATGGGTCCTCGATATGGGCCCAGGTCGTGCCAACAGGAAAGATACCGGAAACGATAGTGAAACCCCTCCGAAGTATTCAAAGAAAATGCTTAAAGCTTGTTGCAGGTGCCCAAAGCTCTACTAGCAGTAGAGTGCTAGAGCACGACTTGTACATTCTCCCCATAGAGATATACCTGAAACAAAGGATAGTCCAGCACGCTGGACTATCAGCTAAACTTCCTGTTCAACAGACAATACGATCGACACGTAAGAGGATAAAGCTGCCCGCAAACGGGAGAGAAACTCAGCATGCCTTGGATAGGGGTAAAGATATCCCCGAATGGACAAGAAATTGCGGAAGGAAAAAGGACAAGGTGAGGCAGAAAGGTAGTGGCCTCTCAGGAGTAGAAGAATTCATAGACAAGCCAGGACAGGGAACAGCGCCCTGGCCGACCAGCATCAGCCGATCTAAATCATTGGAAAGCGGCAAACATATTTACTGACGAGCAAACAGGCAGCAACAAAATGAACTTCAAAGACACACCCTTAGACATCCACCGTAACCTAACCGGGGCCCAATGCAATGTTGCCATTCAGCAAAAAAACGAGCGTCTCGGGCTCAACTCTTACGTATACAGAAGGAAAGTACGCGGTGTAGAAAAGCCAAGCTGTCAATGTAGATATCCATCACAAAACATCAAGCACATGGTATTGGCGTGTCTGCAGTGGGCAAATGGAAGAGGTGACTTTCTCCGACGAGCTAAAGACAGGTCATTTGAAGCAATGATGAACAGCCCAGAAGACGTGGCTAGAATCACATAGTGGACTCTAAGTAAGGGATGGATAAAATAGTTTCAACTTGCAGGGGAAGTCGAGGCAGCAATGTCGGATATAATAAAGCGATTTGAAAGGGGAAAGTACGGAATCCACACTGGCTGAGCAACGTAAACTGCATTTCATGAAGGTAAACTAAACAAATTGAAAGTAATATAAACAGACAGGATTAAGGGGTTTTCACCAAATTGGTTTCCTCCGTTGTAAATAATGAAGATAGTCACTTGCATAGACCCATAGGGTGCCTGATCGGGTTAAATGAAACCAAATTCAAAAAAACTTCAACTCATTTAGCTATGAACGAATGAATGAATGAAAGTTTATTCGTGACGGGCACAAGCCCTGGACTCAAAGAGCATGACACGGAGAAGGCGAGTCCCTCACCGACGACTATATACGACGATAACTCGGTTTGATATTTGGACTACTCATGTAGTGGGTGCATTCGCTGATACCACTAGAGACCTTTGTGCTAGGGACTTTCACCCTTCCCTCAACCCTTAAGGAAATAATTTTTATTAAAGTCCCTACTGAGTATAAGACTATGAAGGACTTCTAGAATCTACCAACTAAATTCTGGCTACTATTTCGATGTTAAAATGAGGTTATTTAATGTTTTCCAATAGATATTGAGGGTCATGCCCTGTCACTCAACCGTTAATATCCACTAATGGGAAAACAGGAAAACCTTTGGCTACCCTAACATGCCTTTGCCATCTTGTGTATAGCCGTCGTGCGAGATATGGCCTCACAGCCCTCCCTTCCTTTAGAGTGTCGGTTGCAATTGAAGTAACGCCATTAACGCCATTAACGCCATTATCGGTATTTGAGGCGAGGTGGTGTTGTAAGATTGAGGTGGAGGACTCCTGTGAGAATGACAGGTCCAACATTGGACGAGAAGTCGTCTATTTTAGATATGCTTGAGGTTGCGTTCAACTTCGATTCGGGTGCGATTCTTCTTGGCTGTCCTAGATATGCAGGGCATACTGAGCAATTACACCGGCACCACTGGAAGGTGAGGAATTTGTCTATGCCGGCCTCGTGCAGCTATGCTTACTGAGCGAATCCCTCTAACTCGAAAGTTGATGAATAACTCTTCATATGATTGTAGATCAACCAGCCCGCATTACATTGTAAACAGCGTAAGTTACAAGGGAATCTAGAGTAATTACCAAGGTGCGAGAGACTTGATATCCACTATTGGTGCCTTATGTATTCATTGGGTCATTGAAACTCATTGCGTTGATGCTAGTTCCTGGATAAACGAGTGACTGCGGTAATTTGAAACAGGCTGGTGGAGGCCATGCTAGATAGAGCTAAGCCACAATGACTTCACAGTGGTGCTTGCACATGAAGTGTAAGGCATTAGAGCTCTATGATTAAATTGAGTCATTTATTGTGTACTATTTCTCTGATAATGTGTCATGGCTAGATAGCTGCATACGCAATTATAATCTAATGAAAAATGAAAATAGACAGAGCTTATTGAAAGCTTGACTGGTAATGAGTCATAATGATGTATCGAGCCCAGATAATTATATTTCTATCTACGTTCAATTAACTTTCAAGACATATGTTATGCTCAGTTTGGTGATGAGATAGCAACGAATCTAGTGACTTTCAATCTACCCTGGGATGGCCTAAGAAAAAATTAGTGCCTCACAAAGTTGTGACTATCCCTACCATCAACCTACTTGTCTGTCTTGATCTTTCTAACGCTCATCCCAACTATTTGCCACTCAGATTTATGCCCCAGGGTTTGTTACTATGATAGAACCAAGTTGGTGATGAATAAATCGATTTATTAAACTGTATGAGGAGAGAAGAAAACTCTGGCTGCAAGTAACAGGTACTTGTAACGACTGATCCGCTTCGTGTATCTACTAACTGATAGCTTTCCACCAGACATCATACTCGCTAACTAGCCACGCATTATTATGTGTTGCTTTGTTGCAACAGCGATCTAGCGTCCTGATTAGTATTATCTTTTCGTCTAGTTCCATCTTTCCCTCCCCATGCAACCTTATTATACACAATCTGATTATTACGCTTAGGCATCCATCTAAGCTCATATAACGGTCAAACCGTGACGGTTACCATTTGCGGGCATTCGTATGGAAGTAAAGATATCAATGAGGTCAGCTGAGAACAGAAACTGGGATGACGAGAAGTTTCGTCATTGGAATGAGGATGCATTAAGTCGTACTTGTAAAACCGATAATGTTTCAGTGTAGATCGAGTTAGTTGGGAGTGAGAGTAAATTGTCTTGAATAAAAGTGGGAAGGGGGCATTCGTTTCATTCTATGGAGACAGAGCATCTAAGTACAGTATGGCGATCCACGGTCCACCCGGCAACCACCAGACCAACCCCTTAGGTCTGGCTCATTAACTACTCCCCCCCACAGGACGAAGCACCCGCGAAGACTACGTGCCCTTAGCTACTGAAACGCCATATCATCTCTGTCCATCTGCATCTCGTGATGACGAGCTCCGTTTAGTGTTGATCGTTTGTCCCTGCTAAAATGCCATAGCTCCTCACGGCTCAATCGTGCTGACATGCACTCCCAGAAGGTGACTCCACAACAGTAAATAGCTTTCTCATGCGTCATGAACACCACGGACCTTTTCGACATACTTTGGCAATTTAAAAGCCGCATTCCCTAACCGAAGGTTCTGATAGACCGGAATCTCCTCCTCCTCTTGAGTTATGAGATAGCCCTCTCGAAGTCGAAAAGGCTTGAGATGGTCTCCGTAGTAATGCCTTGGGATTCGTGACCCATCGACCTGTCTTAGTATGAATGAGCGCTCCATGTCACCTCCATAACCCACAACGACAAACGGCCCTCTCCATGCCGGTCTGAGCTTTTTCCCAGCGGCTTTGGCGTCCCATAACATCACTAGACTCCCTGGTACATAGACATGCCTAGCTCGTACGCCCAGATTATGTCGGTCTTTTGCACGATCTTTTTGCGAATCTGACCTGATCAGCGCAGTTCGCCTCGTCTCTTCACGGTTAAGTATAAAGTCTATAACTAGGTCTCCATGCACATCGTCATCTTCAGGAAACACATCTGGCGTTCCTGTACTCAATAATGACTTCAGACTCTCTCGATGGTTTGAGGGAAACACAGCTTCGAGATTCCCATCAGGTGCGAAGCCCTTAAGAATTTCGTGGGGAGAAAACCCAAGGTGTAGTATGTCCCTCCTGTTTACATCAAACGTGGATTTTGATAGGATCGTTGGCCATCTCGATGGATCACGAGCGTTCTTCTTCAAGGCTCGTTGTAGAATGTCGACGGCTTTCTCTACCATACCAGTAGCTTTCTTTGCTGCAACAGGTGACGTGCACCACATAACTCCACGGGATTCCGCAAACCGCTGTGTGTCCTTCCCAAAATGAGCGCCAGGATCCGAGTAGATACCTGTGGGAACTCCATTCTCCAAGAAAATTCGCTCCAGTGTAGAAATAACAGATTCTGAGTTGTCAGATTTTGTTGCTTGCGGCCACACGAACCGGGAGAAATAGTCCACTACCACAAGGATGTAATACACTTCTACTCCCTCGAACTTCGGAAAAGGGCCTATGAAATCGATTCCAAGTAGTTCCATCGGGGTACTTATTGACACTCGCGCCATTTTCTGTGATCTCACTGCTGTTCCATGTTTGGCACACACCAGACATCCTGCAATGTAGTCACGAACATCTTTAACCATAGCAGGCCAATAATACTTCGATAGTTTGCGCATTGTGATGGATGAGGCGAAGTGTCCCCCATTGTCATGAGCTTGCAACAACAGTGATGAGACTTCCTTTTCGGTTATGCAGCGTTTAAGAACTCCCTGAACATCAAGATAGAGTACTCTTTCGGGTCCCTGTACTTGATACTTACTCGCCTTCTTGAGGAACGCCGCTTGGTGGACTTTCGTTTGGATCTTCTTGGGAGCTATTCCCGTCTTCAGATATATTGAGATCTCTTTATACCATATTGAGTCAGAGAACCTCGTGTGAGGCGCAATGGTTTTTGTCCTTATCACATTTTTGACCCATGGTGCACTGTTATACTGAGGCACTGTGGATGGGACTTGGCTGTCTGAGACGTTAGAAATGAGACAGTTACTCCCCCCCATAGCTTCCGCCCCTGCGGAAACCCAGGAAGATTTGTAGACTCCTGTGGATATTTCGGACAGCGAATTCAGGAGTTCAAATGCTACATGCGTAGGCACTGTCTCTCCCAATTCCTTTATAAGCAAGCTTATACTTGCCATCTTCGAATCAAGATCCTTCCTAGCCATATCACCCAGGAACAACGCCCTAAGATCCTCCTCTTTTAATGGTTCACCGATGGATTTCAGCAATGTTTCGTATCCATTTGTACCATCCTTCCAAATCCATTTAGGGTCTCCATTCTCGTTGACCAGATCACCAAATTCCGTTAATTCCTTCGTTTTTCCTATTTCACCCGGGAAGATAGTCCGAGAAAGAGCATCCGCGATTGGGTTCCGTGACCCAGGTATCCACGCAATTTCAATGTTCAGAAATCTAAGTTCGCTTGCCCACCTTGCATATATACCATCAAGACAAGATGATTTCAAGAAGTAGGTAAGCGGGTGATGATCGGTAAAGATTGTCCCCTGAATCGGCAACCTGAACATATAATCATATTTCCTGCAGAATTCCACGATAGCGCACAGCTCTCTTTTATACGTCCCGTAATTTCGTTGACATTTTGTGAATGTGAAAGCGTCATAAAGGATCGGAACTTCAGCTCGTTTACCCCCAATGATCCTTGACTGGGTTACAGCACAGCCAGCTCCAAAGTTGCTCGTATCTGAGTACATGACCGTTGACTCTTTGAAGTTCCAACCATGCATTTCAATTGCACCGGAGCATTTCTCCTGTAGTAATTGGAAGGAAACTTGCTCTGCCTCTCCCCACCGCCAGTCACCGTTACCGGTAAGTCTTGACAATGGAACCTTTATCTCAGCGAAGTTTTTAACCCATCGTCGAGTCATATTAATCGCCCCAAGAAAAGCACGAACCTCTGATGCATTTGTCGGGGTAGGCCATATCCGAATCTTGTCTCGTCTCTCAGGAGTTACACACACAATGCCGCCCTTCTTATGAAGCGTTCCTAGAGCCACAACTTCTTCCTTGAATAGCTCCATCTTTTTAAATGATAGTTTGAGACGTGACCACTCTAGTCGAGGAAACAATTCATCCGCCATAAAATCATAGGCATCCTTGAAGTTTTGAAAACCGGAAAACATGTCATCAATGTAGAATGAGGCTTTTGGAGGACTACTATTATCTTCGGGCACCAGTACAGACTTCATGCCCGGAAATTGATTTTGACCAGGTGGAATGTCACCAAGCACAATGTACATTAGCTCCGTGAAGGAGAATCCTGCGCTCATGGATCCTTGAGGCATCCGAGTCGGCTGAACTTGGCCAATGCCGGCTATGGTGAATGCAAAAAAATGTCGATCTTCGGGATGAACGAGGATATTCCAATAGCCGTGTTTCACATCAAACTTCAGAAAAAATTTGTGTGAGGGGTGAGACAAATGGTCGTGTACTTTGGCCATCAATTCCAGGTAGCATCCTGGCATGTCTTCCTTCACATTCTGGTAGTTAAACGTAATTCTCGGCTCATCCCAAGGTCCGGGATTGTCGCTCTTGTCCACTATGACGGCCTGCGCGTTCCAATCTGACAACTTTCCATTTGCTGCCATGGTCTTTTCGAACATTCCACACGATAGCCCCTCATTAACAATTTTTTGAAGCCAAAACTCCTTCCCTGGAGGCCACCTTTTCTGCTTGACTTTTGAAAATGGTTTAGTCCCCTCTCTGATCCTAACTCTATGAACATAGAGGTCTGTTGGGACTAGTTGCTCTAGCTCAACTCCATTGATATCGCGGTAAGTGAATAGAAGTCGTTTCACCATGTCTCGTTGAAAGTCATCGCCTACAGCTGTACCTATCTTTACTCCTACTTTCCCAAACCATTCATCGATCTCTTCTTTCGGAGCCTTACTTAAAGGTCTGCTTCTGGGTCTTCTGGATGTCGGAAATGTTCCGGCCAGGTCAAAACTTTCTCTAATTAGTCTAGTCGACGGTTCATTTGAATTGGAGTCGTTCTGGGAATTGAAGGCATTAACTGTACCATCAGTTAAGCAGTGTTTTCTATCAGAAACTCCCATAACGCTCATCAGCTGCTTAGTTAGTAGATCTCTGTTCTTCTTTAATATCCGCGGTGCTTTCTGGTCACTTGGTTCAAAGGCGGTCTCGTCAAACGTACATGACATCGACTCTAGTAAGACACGGTTGGAAGACAATATAGGTGACGAATTCGGATCATTAGGATGACCGTCCTTATTAAAATGAAAATTAGAAAATTAGACACAAGATTGAAGATCAGAGTCCTGAGGTTGTTGACAAAAAGGGTTTTCACTATCCTCTTTCGTAATTTCCTCACTGTGTATGACATTTTTGTACAGTTTACTGACATGTTTAGGTCTCTCTAGTTTTCCGACGACGAAGACGTAACAACTTTTGGGAGCTCATCATCAAAATCAGAGTCAGTATCGTCAGATTCATCTGTCGTATCAGTATCTGATTCTACAATATCTTTCGCGCGTGGTTCGCTCGGTTCTTCCCTATGTCCCTCGTCATCCAGGGCTTGTCTGGGATACAATACAAGTTTGTGCCCACTCGAAGACATAAACGTTGGGCCTACAATAGCGGCCTTCGCCTCATTCAATTTCGGATCTCCAAGAATTATTTTGGAGTCGCGAATAAAAATCCCTGCATTAACGTCGTGTAACCAAGGTATTCCTAGAAGTAAGTGAAGATCAAGTTCACCATTCTTCTTCACGACTGGGCGCACGAACGCATCTATTCGTCTCCAAATTCTGCAAACGCCGATGTCGAAACTAACAAAATGAGATAATTCCGTTGCACTGCCATCGGCTGTGTTCATCGTAAGACCACTGAACCCCTTGGTGCCCAAGCTGATCTTTTCAAGCCTCAGAGCTTTAACGAGGCTCTGCGAGATGATGTTCATCTCTGATCCTTGGTCTGCCTGCGAGATATGCTTTGGCAATGCAACTTTTATTATTTTCCCGTTTGCTTCTGCGCGCGCTACAACAGGAATTCGAAAAGCTTTTGTTTCCTGGCTCTTCTGGACCGACCGAGCCAGACCGTTATCGGCCGCACTTGAGAAAAATTGTGCTGGCACTTGCTTCCCTTTCTTCTTGTTCATCCTCGTTGAGAGTCTTCGGAATTCCTTTGCCGTATCTGGACTCACTTGCCAGAGCTCAAGAAGATTTAGAGGTATACATATTCTTCTCGCCAGTTCCACATAATCCATAGGGCCGCATCCCTCTCTGCCCACTATCTCCCTCAAATGCTTTAGAATCCGCTTTCCTTTTCTTGCCGGTTTTATAGGCCGACATATTCCAGGATTTTCATCCTCATTGACAGGCTCGTTGGGCGAATTATTGCTAAGGATATCTTCTATATCGATTCGTTGCCTCTTCCTACCTGGTCCAGAGCTGAATGATTGAACCTGTGTGCCTAGTTCGCAGGCCTTTGATTCAGTGTGTTGCCAATGATCATCTGGTATATCGATGTCGGCAAACTGACTGAGTGAACAGTCCGCATCTCTTTGATCCGCGAAATGAACTTTGGGCGGCGCTCTCCAAGATCCCTCAGGTTCATCTCTATGCGTCTCCTGACTCTCAGTCCTTGCTGGTGGGTGATTCCGGCTGTGTTGACTTGAACCGTAGTTTTCTGGCCTATATCCAAAAGCGGAGTTCAATTGAGGTTGGTCTGGGACATCCATATAGTTACCATTCATTCCTCGAGATCTAGAGGAATAATTTTCACTTAGATTGTGCAAATCAGAGTGAGGATTTAGTGGACGGTGAAAATCTTGACTCTCTTTCCACCTACCGTATCTATGACCGTAGTGTACCGAGTTTGATTCTCTCGGAGGTTGAGGGCGATCATATATTAAATTCTTGAGGTGAATTTGCTCCCAGTTCTGAAGTTGCAGATTCTGACATTTCGGTTTAATATGCCCTACATGGCCACATCCAAAACACAACGGTCCATCACTCGCCTTGTAGATAGCAGCTCCATTAACAAACGCATTCTTAGACACGTTCCCAGGATTATATGTGCTCTGACGATTAGTGGTGTTTCCTCCAAGAGTCTGATGGGCAGGAGGTGAGTCCTTATTGGCATGATTGAACCCGTTCCCAAACTGTTGTTGTTGATGATGCGGAGGCCGAGGTTGATAATATGAGGCTTCATTGCTGAAGCCCTGCCTTGGCTTAGGTACCATTATCCTCCCAGAACTTAAGTTTGCAAGCACAGATGAGACGGATTTCCCGTAATGAGATGAGCATAGATCTCGAATTTGCGCCATTTCGTTCCTCTCAGCGGCTCTTTCTCTAGCTTCCTTAGCCGCATCTAGACTTTGCTTAACCCCAAGGATTATTTCTTGACATCTCCACATTGAACCGCATGATAGCGCGGACCTGGAAAGCGCTTCACACCTGACATCTTCTTCACGAAGCCCATTGAGGAACGCAAGGATAATGGAGTTGAGCACTGTTTGCTCAATAGGAATCATTGGTCTGCCCAGAGCTGCTGTCCTTGGGGCATCCCTTCCGTGTGACCGACGAAGAATGTGTAGCGCACGCTGATAGTATGCTGTCAGTGGTTCAGCTTCCTTCTGCATAAAATCCTGGATATCATTCTGCAGGTTCCCTTCGACGTGATTTACCAACTTGGCGGGGAACATTTCAATTAGCTGTTGTTTAAACTCAGCCACCTGCTCATCTGTCGAATTCTGCCGGTCGTCAATGAAGGCCCTTAATTCCGGAGTTGAATCAAGCCATCCTGCCGCTTCGTCTTCAAAAAGGATATCAATCGCGAAGAAAAAATTTTCTGGTGAGACCGTCGTATGCCCCGCCGTCCTGAAATCATATTCGAGTCGTGACAGCCACCTTGCTCCGGAGTTTCCTTCTCCAACAAACCTTCCCGCCTGTTCAAACTTTGGGAGTGTTCGATTTGCCATTCCGAGTTCCTCTTCACCAATCCAGATTCTTTCCAACTCAGCACGCAATTCACTAAAATCAAAAGCCGTTTTTTTTTTTTTTTTTTTTTTTTCTTTGTAATCTTCCTTATTCTTCTGTTGTTATTTTTCCACCTTCTTCTACACCAATTCCAGATCACAGATGTTAGGCCGATAAGTTAACTTAATAATGGGGCCTTCGTAATTGATTCACACTTGAGGGTCAACACTTGAACGAAACGGGTTTCTTTAACAGGCACTGTGATGACGCGTTTCGACCCAGCAGCACAAAACTAGGTCGTAATATGTATATAGACCACCGAGCTGCCAACTAAATTTCAGGATGAATTTTCAGCCTGTGGACTCGAGATAGCTCCCAATAACAGTTGACTCCCATTCAACGCGTGAGATGATCTGCTTCGATAAATAGACCGTATCCACACGACACGATTACTAATAGTCACCACCTGACGTCTCGATACCGATGATATAAAGTAGGTAGATAGTTAAGATCAAAGTAGACAATGACAACGACCCGAGGAAAATCCCCTGTGCAGGTCACCAGTAAATTGTCTTGAATAAAAGTGGGAAGGGGGCATTCGTTTCATTCTATGGAGACAGAGCATCTAAGTACAGTATGGCGATCCACGGTCCACCCGGCAACCACCAGACCAACCCCTTAGGTCTGGCTCATTAACTGTGAGAGATTGATTTAGTGGAGAATCTTGAACCAACGCCTCATAGGTCAAATTCCTTGGCATTGCGAAGTTCAAATGAACTCGGCTCTAGGAGAACATTCTGCTTCCAGATTCTTTTTTTTTGCATCAGATTTTAATTGCGTATGCAGCTATCTAGCTATGATGCAATATCAAAGTACAGTAAATAATAGATGACTCAATATAAAGGAAGAGTACTCGTACCTCGGATTTCAGCTGCAAGTACCACTGCGAAGTTATGGCGGCTTTTTCTCCACCCGAAGTCAACCCTTATCCACGAATACCCACCCAGGGGGATGTCTCAAAACCCCTGAGTTATCCATGTATGCCTCCATATCCGTTTACTTTTCTCCGTGCGAAATTTGGTCTTGGGTTTCCCCTTGCTGAGTGTAGTAGGTGCCCAGGCTACTCAGACTATACCGGAGAGCAACACAAGGAGGCGGATTCGTGGAGGACACCGTGGACAGGTGTTCAGCGTTCTTCCTCCTAGATTAATAGATACTTATTCGTGATGGGCACAAGCGTAAAACTCTTAGAGCATGACCCAGAGAAGGCTTGTTCTTCTCCGGCTAGAAATACGACGATAACTCCGTTATTTCTCAATCTTAGAGCGACGGCTACTGTAGGTTTTCTTTGGGGCGAATTAGCAAATAAATTATATTAAGTTTATATTTACCGACTATCTCTATCTCAGGACTGCTATCTAAAGAAAGTCTACACGGGAAGAGTTTTCCACTTCAGCTCTGACCACCTTTCCTTCTATGACTAATTCATGACTAGCCCAAAGCTCCTTCCTTATTAGTTTCAGGGTTAAGTTTACTCCGAGCAGATTGGAGTACTGTATGCAGGAGTATTCCCACAAAATCAGTGATATTTACACTACCCTCGTAGTGGATGCATTCGCTGATACCACTCGAGACCTTGGTGCTAGGGACTTCCACCCTTCCCTCAACCGTTAATATCCCCCAAATGGAAAACAGCAAAAACCTTTGGCTACCCTAACATGCCTTTGCCATCTTGATTATAGCCACCGCGCGAGATATAACCTCACAGTCCTCCTTTCCTCGAGTGAGATAGGTGTACAGGCTACCCAGACTTTAATTCGGGGAAATGATGAACAGGAGGCGGACCAAATCATAATTCATTGTTGCACGTTTTTACAGTGTCGGTTGCACTATCCGAAATCGTAGCCCCAGCGCTCAAAAGATATTGTGACTAGGTTATGAGCAGATATAGAATAGTGTATAAGCTAGGGATAACGGCGAATGAGCAGAAAGAGATAATCGGACACTGAGAATGTGAGACCCGTTGAGAGATAATTATTCAATGATAGTCTATGCCCCACAGATAGGACCGATATATATGTACATTATCTACACCCACAACAAAGCCCATTGTATTGTATTGTTCATTAACGTGCTAGGTTACATGACTATCGTTGCACTCCTATTGGAGCTTAAGCACGTGTGGGTCGGGCCAGATCAGGTTAACTACCGTGAAGTACAGATAAACCTCGTCCCACTTTCTGATCGGACCACCTCAGACTTCACCTATGTGTTGAATCATACCAAGTCTTACCGTCCAGAAACCCGCTGTATATACGCCGTTGCGCAAATTCCTCCTCAGCCTCGGCCACCACGCGCCTGAGCCCTTGACATCTTCATTGGCTCCGAAATTTAAATGCCGTCCAAGATCTCATCGTTGCTCTATCATTGCACCTTCATATCGTACCGTTGGGTTGTTTTCGACAATGGGGATATGTGTAATCCCCTCGGTGTATCTTCTCTTTTCTTCATCCTTTGTACACGTCCCGTTTCCATCATGACTTTCCTAATTAGGGCGTGTGTAGATAGGTAATGTGACGAGAATAGAGGTGGGTCGCAGGTATAGGATCAACTGAGAAATGCTTCGTCGCAAATATAAAAGGAGCATGAGAGATGTCGGATGTTTGAATACGACTCCCAGACAGACCTAAATCCATTCGTGAATCGTATGTTGGTGGTGATGACTTTTTGTTCGACTTTGTTCCGGCTATGAAATCTCTGCCAACTGATTTTTCGACCAAAATATCGAGTGCAACTCCTTCAAGTCGAAAATCCATCAATTAAATTTCATCCCACCCATTTTCGTGACTGAATCTCGGCTCTGGGAGAATATTTCACTCCCAGGTTCGTAGGGGACACCACTGACAGGTGTTCAGCCTTCGTCCTCCGGGTGTTTAGTGTGTAATGCATGTGTGGGTATTATGGACCAAAGTAGAACTCGAAAGAATAGAGACAATGGAATCAGCGAGAGACTGATGGACTGAAGGAAAACTAGCTGGTCATTTCTCGTAGGAGAGAAATGATATCACAAGGGCATGTTCTAGCACTAGGCTGAGAACAACACAGTAAGCCTGAAGCAAGATATAAGGAGGTCTTAACCTCCGTCCATTCATAGTAACTTAGTTTCATTCATGTGAGAATATAGAACCAAGTCTTATATATCACGAGAACACACGCGACAACGGTTAAAGAGACCTACTGTGAGCATAACTTCCCCAAGAGTATCCATCGTCCTGCTCCTATATAGCCTAGTTAATATAACAATATTTGATTGTTGTCTGATATTTTGCATATCTACCGCCTTAGCGGATGGTTTTCTGACTCTCCCAGACCGTCTATCTCCCCTAATCAAAGCTTCTTCTTCTTATAATCTTTTTAAGTGGGCAGAATGTTTTTGTTGGCGACTGAGGTTATGATGTTGACCATTATTATTACCATTATTACTAGGGTGTATTTTAGTATATTCTAAGAAATTCGGATGTCGTTTTTCTTGATTATTGTTTAGGGTTTCATGATTAAAGCTAAAGTTATTACGTAAATTGATTTTATCCCCAGACTCATTATTAGACTTGTCACTGGTTAGTAATTTTCTCCTATTAAATGATGCAATTTATTATCAGAGGAAAACTCATTCTCTAATAGATTTTGATTCCTCTAGACGGGTAATACAGTAGTACTGTTACAGGAATACTTGGAAGTAGATTTGATAAAGTATGGGGTTGAATCGTTACGTGTACTTCGACTCTACGTCTAAGCACTTTATAAAAGTACTGCGACCTCGCACCCACTAATGTATCGCTCCTAGTCTCATCCACACGCTAATATGGAACTACGAATACAGGGTATATAAAATCAACAGACGCCTTACCCTTTTTAACTCCTAGGCAACCAATAACCACAACCCTAACTCCATTATGTTAAATTGCAGGGATGATTATGTTTGACCAACCCTTCTTATAATTTAACATTCTCATCAAACTCAACAGATTGTGCTTCACATAGTATTTTCTTTTCTGGGTACCAGATATGATAAATCTCTGATGATTTGGTATTGTAGCCCTCAAAGATCTCTTTCCAACACTTTTTATCTAATTTTCCTCTCTTTTCTTTTGGAATATGGACATACGCAGCACATCCCCATATTCCATAGTGACTAATATCAGGAGTTTCATTATGCCACATGGTCCAGGGGATTACATATCTCCCACCAATTGTTTGTTGGTTGATTAAATAAATTGCAGCTCTGCATGAAAGTTCCCAGAATTCTCCTGTAAGGCCTGCTCGAAACCGTAGACTATTGGCTCTTTCCATTATCGAACAATTAGCTCGTTCGGCAACACCATATGTCTCTGGTCGATAGCCAACAGTTGGTTCGACAGAAATATTTTTACCAGCTGCCCAGATTTTCACATTTTTATTCAATAATTCTGTGCCGCAATCAAATCTGATTGCTTGGTGTTTTTCAATATTTCCATTTATTTCTCGTTCATTTTCTACCCGAGAGCACCATTAATTGATTAATTACGCCAGGTCCTTCTTTGAATTTCTAAATATAGCTCATTTAAATTTTGTAAATTGGTCTGTGATGATGATAATTCATTATCGTGCCAGGCTTACACCCTCCATCCAATGGACATGACACGCATGGAGAACATCTAGAATACAAGTTCCTCTATTCTCCAGCAAAGCCCATCCGGTGCCTGACTTTTCCAAATACGTGCCTCACGATAGTTAGATCGGGTCGAGTAGGTAAGAACGCATTCACCATGATCCTAAGACCATGTATTGAGGGAAAACCTTCGTGGGAAAACCTCAATAATTCCTCCTGTACTCTTTCACGACGAGCAGCCGTAGTCCCCCTTTAAATAGGCCGTGTAGGAATCCAACCTACCACTTCTAGAAAGCACATCCAGCACCCGACCAACTGTGCCAACAGCCTGTTGAAAATCACATATCGTTCTTC